CGTGGCTGCTTCTGGGGAGGGGGGTCTCAGGGGCGGGGAACACGGGGCTCTCTCACCGCAAGGCGAGGGAGGGTGAGCAGGTCCCCCCCCCAACCTGCCGGGTGCAGGTGGGTGGGGGACAGCAGCCACGGGCTGGAGGCATGGCTGCTGTTTCTCACCCCGCAGGGAAGGTGGTGGGTGCCCTGTGTTCTCCCCCAGGAGCATAATGCCACCAGTTGTGGGGTCTCTGAGAGACATTTCCCTGAAGGCCAGAACCAGAGCGAGGCCATGGCAAGGGAGCAGAGCATCTAAGACCCTCCCAAGAATTCTGGAATTCTCTGTCGCTTGTCCCTTTCTTTCTAATGACTATCCCTTTCTTTCCGTATGACCAATCTTGCTCAAACAAATGTGTTTAGTCCACAAATATTGACTGAGGACTGTAGGAGATTAGATTATTGTTTAGTAAGTATTTACTGTCCCCCACTCCACCCACTGCAGGAGCTCCTTCCACACCCGAGACTGGGCTCGGTCGTGTGATTAGTCTTGACCCCTGGGGGTGAGCAGACAGGACTCTAGCAGAGACTGAAATATGCTCTCAAAGCAGCCTTGAGCCTTCCTTCTCCGCACCTCACCTCTGCCGTTGCCAGCAGAAGCGCTTCCCAGGGGCTTCCGGTGCCCCTGCAGCCTGAGCCCCAGGACGGACAGACACAGAAGATCAAAGAGTCAAGCCAGGCAGCCCTGAAGTCCCAAGCAGAGTCACCCAGTCAGGCCCAGCAGGACCCGCCCAAGAAATGTGAGCGAGTATAAATGATCGTGGTTGGAAGCCCCTGAGTTTGGGGGTGGTTTGTTAGGCAGTCCGGCTGACTGTTACAAGGGCCCACTATGCCCTTGGTCTGAGAAAAGTAAGTGTAAAATTCTCCCTGCGACAAGTGCAGGGGGTGGGGGTGGGGGGCGTACATGGGAGAGTGTGCACTAGGAGGCAATGACCAGGTCGGGTAGGATGGGAGCTGGGAGCACGAGGAGGAACCAGGCAAGGGACAGAAATCCAGGCGCAGAGGCTGCAGGGCAGGAGGGAGCACGGGACTCGGAGGAAAGCCGCGGAGCCGGGAGAGGTGGGGCAGGGCGCCAGGCAGGGCTGGCTGGTGGGGCTGCAGAAGCCAGACCACCTAGAGCCTGGGGGGCGGTAGGAATCCTGGACGCTGTTTGAAGAGCATGAGTGGAGTGCATGCACCATATGCATCTTGCAAAGATCACTTTCACTGCTGAGAGTGAAACAGATCAGACGAGCCGTGAGTGCCGGTGGGGAGGTGGAGGAGGAGGCCGTGGCAGCCAACCAGGGGACAGGTGATGGGGACAGGTGAGGAGGGCATGTGCATCAGTTCCCGAGGGCGGCTTTAACAAAGTCCCACAAACTGAGCAGCTTAAAACAACAGACATATATTCTTTCTCGGTTCTGGAGGCTAGAAGTTCAAGATCGGGGCGTCAGTCAGGCCATGCTCCCTCAGAGAGCTCTTGGGGAGAATCCTTCTTGGCCTCTGCGGCTTGTCGTGGCTGTCGGCGATCCTTGGCTTGTAGATGCATCCCTCCAATCCCGGACATCCCATCACATTCTTGTCAGGACACTTGCCATTGGATTAGGACCCACACTCATCCAGTATGACCTCATCTTCACTGGATGACATTTTGGACTTATTTCCAAATAAGAGCATGTTCACAATGTGTGGGTGAGCAAGGATTTGGGGGACAAGCTCTTCAACCCAGGGCACATGGCATAGGGTGGGTGTGTCGAGGAGTGGACAAGGAGCAGATGGTGTGGGGAGTCACTGAGGGGGTGAAATGAATGGAACTTGGAGCTGGGCCCACTGCTGGCCTTCTGGGCCTTCACTCTTCTCTCGATCACCCCGCTGACACTCCACCTGGCTGTAGAGCCACCCCCTGGAGGGGGGGTCCCCCCACTTGGCTGTTGTTCTGTACCTGACCCCTTCCGCAGGCTGACAAGGCAGCACTTACCCTTCTCTCTGCCACGTGGTGCCCCTGGTGCCCTGGATTCACAGACATCCATCTGGCCTGGGCCAACATACAGCTGGGGCTTTTGAAGTCGCTCCGGGTTCAAGTCCTGGCTCTGCCACTTCCTGGCCAGGCAACTCTGGGTGATCTGCTTAAGCACTTTGTGTCCTAGCTTCCGCCTTGTAAAATGTAGATAATCGTAGTGCCTACTTCATAGGAGGGTCATAAGAGGTGAGACACTTAAAGCACAGAGCACACTTCCTGGCATATTGTAAGCATTATGTAATATATGTATTTATATATTACATATATATGTTATATGTTGTATATATGGCCGCCATATGGGTTTGGATGCCTTAATTCTTCCTTCTTCCAAAATGATGTCCCTTGGAGAGAAAGATTCAGGACATCCCTGATGAGGAAACAGCCCAGCAGAATGGGCCAGGCTCTGTGCAGAAGGGTGGCAGGACCAATGTTCCAAGCTCTTGGAGATGCTTCATACTGGTCCCCGTGGGATCAACGCTAACTTCACAAGCTCCTGGCACAGAGAAGCACATAGCTCCTTCCCCGTAACTGCTTGCTGAGGGAGTGAGGCTGCTGACCCCCTGGCTGGGGACTGGGGCACCCTGAGGTGAGGATGGAGCAGAGAGGCTGGACCAGGAGGTTTGGACCCATTTTCAAGGTGTCTACCAAACACAGCAAGCCCTGCTGTGGTGGACAGGAAAGAAAAACGAGTCCCTTACTATTGGAGGTCTCTTCTCTGTCATTTGGGAACAGAAGGATGACCTTTCTAGAATTTTTATGCAGAGTCTGAAAGTATGAACTGAGGCCACTGATAACAGCTCTCTGTCCAAAGAAAAATAGACCAGGGAGCAAGTTTACATAAAGTGATTATTTATTAACGCTTGTTACTATCTGAAATGATCTCACTTACTGTTTATTATCTGCCTCTCCCACTTAACTTGAAATTCTCTAAGGTCAGGAACCTGGTCTGTTTTGTTTACTATTCTCCCTCCAGCATGTAGAATAGTGCTTTCAATATTTGTTCATTCAGTCCCTCACTATTTAAGTTAAAAAAAAAAAATGCTGAAGGAGCAAATGAATAAATACTTGGAGGGGTGCTTCACTTCTATTATGGGGTTTTATAATTCTATAATATTGAAGATGTTGTCCCACAGGAAAAAAATACACTGAAACACTCTGCTAAAGAGTTAAGACAGGCACCAAGATCACAGCCTGCTCACTTTTACTTCTCTGGAAGTGTTTTTGAAAAACTTTGCAATAATTAGTGTCACAAGCCCAAGATCACCTCTTCTCAAGGCCACAGGAAATCTCCTCAATCTTGGTTATCACCTAGTGTCTCATTTAAAGCTACGGAAACTCCGCTTTGCATCTTTCCCTTTATTCTAGATGATTAATAATGTCTGATAGAGCTACACTGCAATATCACAGTCTGCCAGCAGGTGTCGCTGTCTAACAATACATGACCTTGCGTGAGACCAACACCCCCCCTCCCCCTCCCAAGAGCCTTTTAAGGCCAAGAGTCTATGAACTCAACCAGTGTACTAATTCATGAAGGCTGTAAGATCAAAATTCTGTAAGATAAGGTCCCCTCTATTTCAATTTCACTTCATGAGATAAGTATAGCTTACGTTAAGGATGAGGAATGGGTATTTTGTTAACATGCTTCAGTGTTCTTTCAGTTCTGGTGGGTCTTGCCACACTTTCATGTTATGGATCCGTGCTTTTACCAGGGAAGTTTTTTGTTGTTGTTTTTTTTTCAATAATAATAATAATATCTAAAATGCATTTATTATTTTGAGATTCCTCAAAAACCTCTGATTTCATTCTAACACATGGTTGTTGCACTCAATATTTGTTGGATGATTGCCCCTCCCCTCCCCAGCAAATCCTGGGGATAACATAGAGCTACCCTACAGATGGAGAAACTGAGTCTCAGAAAGGTTAAGTAACTTGCTCAAGGTCCTACAGGCAGTGAATGACAGTGCTGGGATTTGTCTAATTCCAAATCCCTTGTCCGTCCATTCACTCCAGGTGGCAAAAGGGACCCAGGGGAGATGGGTGCCCCCCCCGCCCCGCCCCAGGAGATAAGAGCTTGTCAGGGCAGCAGATTCGGCTCAGAGGGCTCAAAGGTGTCCAAACTGTCTCTGGACAGATTTTCCATCATCAGAAAAAGTAGCTGATGTTGGGGCACCTGGGTGGCTCAGTCGTTCAGCGTCTGCCTTCGGCTCAGGTCATGATCCCAGGTCCTGGGATCGAGCCCCGCATCGGGCTCCCTGCTCTGTGGGAGGCCTGCTTCTCCCTCTCCCACTCCTCCTGCTTGTGTTCCCTCTCTAGCTGTCTCTCTCTCTCTGTCAAATAAATAAAAATCTTAAAAAAAAAAAAAAAAAGAAAAAGAAAAAGTAGCTGATGTTAATTTGTTATCTACTAATTTCTTCCCGTCATTTTCCTGAAACAGATTACAGAAGGGAACAAATTGTGTGTGACGATGCCAGTGATGAAATGTGGGGGTGGGGGTGGGGGTGGAGTCGGGTGATGGCATCACCAGGAGCCCAGAGCCACCCCCTCCCTACTCACCCCCTGTGGAGCACAGATACTTAGTTTAAGACTTGAGTCAGTCTTCAGATTCCTGGGTTTATCAGCTGATGTCACAATGTTTCAAGATTTTGTATCTTTTTAGCAAACAATAGCATCAGCATTGATAGGGTGAGTATATGCCCCTTTCTCACAATCTGTTCTCCAGGATTGTGCAACAATGCGCCCCGCCGCAGTGGGTCACGGCTGGATGACCAGCTCTGCAGCATGGTCCTGCCCACCTGCCCAGAACCCTGGCAGAGAGGAAGGCTCGCTCCCCAGAGATTCCTTTGGGAAATTTAGGTCAGCAGGATCTAATTACCCGACTGGCTCAGAGCTGAGATTTCAAGATTAATGCTGAAGGAGGGTGGAGTGGGAGGGCTAAGGACTCCTAATTGGGAACCATCTGTTTCAGGGCCCTCACTTCAAAGGTGGGGTCTCTGGCCCTCGCTGAACAGATGCCGCCACTTGAATTACACGCAGTCTGCCCCAGTCTGCCCCAGAAGGTCTCCTCCAGAATAAGAGGTGAAGCCTGGAGGAGTCCCACTCAGGAGGCTGACAGCAGCATGGCCCTGGGGCCAAGGGGCTGCAGCCCCGGCTCCAGGAGAGGGCAGCCCCAGGCGAGGGGCGCACACTTCCTGTATAACACTCTCCACCATGCTTACTCCTCCAAGGGAGAGATCCCAAGCACAGAAGGGGCTGTACTTTTTGGGAATTAGACGACTCCAAGGTATACCGGTAACTTGGCAAGATCCCCTTGCCATCCCGGATGTTTTCACAGTTCTCCCAAGTGCTATTACATGCTGGGACAACTAACAATTCTCACATTGCAGAGTGGCTGAAGGGAGTCCTGGGCTCTCTTTAAATCCCAGCCGCCCCTGGGTTGCTGACAATGGCTGTCCACCTGAGCAGCCTGGGTTCCTAGACAAGGGGAACCAGGAGTGTTAACTGGGCCGCCAGAATGCCCACTGAGGCTCACTCTTTTTTTTTTTAAAGATTTTATTTATTTATTTGACACAGAGAGAGAGAGAGCACAAGCAGGGGGAGCAGCAGAGGGAGAGGGAGAAGCAGGGAGCCCAAGATCATGACCTGAGCCCAAGGCAGATGCCCAACAGACTGAGCCACCCAGGCACCCCAGTCTTAGTAATTTTTTATTTCAAAACAAAACTGATTTTCAGCACAGGGAAGTGAGAAACTGGAAACCGTCACAGAATCCATTTGGGCTTGCAGCTCTGATCCAGCAGGGCCTTTGCACCAGGTAGGGTCCCTCACTTTAGGAGTGTAACAACAGTCCTGCCCTAGAGCGTTACTGTAAAGATGAAATAACAGGAAACCACATTTCATGTTACAGCTCCAATAACGATAATGCAATGGACACTACACATAGGGGTGGAGAAAGGCAGGGAGGTTTTGCTCTTAAAACACTAATTTATTATTTATTTGTTTTTATTAAAGATTTTATTTATTTGAGAGAGAGAGAGAGAACACGAGCGGAGTGGAGGGGCAGAGAGAGAGGGAGAGGGAGACGCAGACTCCCCACTGAGCAGGGAGCCCGATGTGGGGCTGGAGCCCGATGTGGGGCTGGATCCCAGGCAGAGAGGCTTGACTGAGCCACCCAGGCGCCCCAACACTAATTTCTTTAAAACGTTCTGGTTCGAGGGTTGCGGAGGAAAATTCCTTTGAGGAGCCAAGAGCCACAAGACACTCTATAATAAGTCCTGGGGGTGCAGGACCTACCAGGCAATCGCTCACTCATTCATTCAACAAACATTCGTGGAGCGCCGCCTGCTGTATGCTCTGTGCTGAAGAGCCCGGGCCGGGGGGCGGTCTGGGAGTTCAGAGACCCCCGCCAGTCCCTGTGGGTACCGAAAGGGAAACGCATGGGCGAGGGGGCAGGGCGGAGAGTCCCTGCATTATCTTGCTGGCCTACGTCCTCCTCTCCTGCGCCTTCGAATTACGGAACTTTAAACTGCTGGGAATTTCAGATGAGGCAAGCAAGGCCTTGGTCCCAAAGTTATTGAAACAACCCCCACCCTCCCAAGAGATTTTAAAACATTATTCTTAGTAAGCCCCCTCCCCCGCACGGCCGCGGCCCTCCGGGTGTTGCAACCCCGGCCTCTCGCCCAGCGGAGGCTGCCCGGCGTTTCCCAAAGACGCCTCCCGAGGGACCGCGGCTCCGGTGCCGCCCCGCGGGCCGCGGCGGCCTCCGGCTGGGGTGGCGGCGCGGGCGGAGGCCGAGGGAGCGCCCGGCACAGGGGGTGCCCCCGCCACCCCGAGCCCCGCGCCCGCCCCTGGGGCGCACAGCACCCGGCGCGCGGGAGCCGGAGCCCGAGCCGCGGCCGCGGCCGAGGGGGCGGGGCGGGGCCGAGGGGGCGGGGCCGAGGGGGCGGGGCGGGCACGCCGGCCCCGCCCCCCGGCGCCTTCCCCTCGCCGCACTTTAAAGCCTTCGCCTGCTTTTTCTTCCTCGCACAGAAGTCGCGCTCGGGCTGCCCGCGCGCTCGCAGCAGGAACCAGGCTCCAGGCGCTGGCGCCGGGGCCGCGGGAGGAGGCGAGTTCGCTCCCTGCGGCGGGCGCGGCCCGGGCGCCCCGGCCTCCTCGGCCCCGGAGAGCGGCGGCGGCGGCGGCCTCCCTGGCGCGGTAGGCAGCGCCGGGCACGGGAGACCGGGCGGGTGGGGGTCCGGACGGGGATCGCGGCCCTCGGGGACCGAGTGGTGGGCGCGGGGCCGGGCGCTGGGGGCCTGGTGGGTGAGGGTCCCGCTGGGGACCCGCCAGGGGGCCGCGGGGAGCCCTTCTCTCGCCACAGGTCCTGGCCGAGGGGGCCAGGGCGCCGCCCAGAGCCGCTGCGGCTGCGGGCGCCTTGCGGGTCGCGGCGGCCCGGGGGTCCCACCTGCGGGGGCGAGACAAGGCGGGGGTCCCGGCGGCCGCGACCACGGTCGCGCCCGGGGTTGAGCCTCGGCTGCCGCAGGCCCGGGAGGGGACCCCGGGCGCGCGGCGGCCCCCGCCGACTTCCAGGTGCCCCGGCGCCCCGGGCTCCGTTCCCGCGGCTGTCCCCGCGGCCGAGGCGGGGGCGCTGACCTGCCCCTCCCACACGGGGGCAGCGCGACCCTGCTCCGCGAAGTTAGTTTCGCTTTTCCCGCCGGTCGGGAGCCGGATCTGCAGTGTGGCCCTACTGGCCCCCTCGGGGCTCCCCTGCCCTGCTCGCCGCGCCTCCCCCGGGGAGTCCGCCGGGGCGACACCCCGGGCGGCGCCTCCCTCTCCGCCATCCCGGAGCCGCCGCAGCTTCTCCCGGCAACCAGGGGGGAGCCGAGTGTTGTGTCAGCAGATCGATGGAAACAGAAAAACCAGAGCAGCCTGGGCCGGTCGGTGGCCCCGCGGGAAGGGTCAGCCCGCGGCCAGGGTGTGTGGGGACTTGGTAATTGTCCTGTCCGAGTTCAAGGCGAGGGCTCCTGGAATGCTCACTGGCCCCTGGCGCGCGGGCTTGCCCCGATGGGAGACTGCAAGTGAGTGTGTGAGTGAGTGTGCGGCTGGGTGTGAGGGGTCTGGCGACCGAGTGTCTGTGTGTCTCTGAGCCTGCCTGTGTGGGTGTGCCTGAGCGAGTCAGGGTGCTGCGTCTGTGTGTCTGTGTGAGATTACGTGTGCGTGCGGTGTGTGTTTCTGTGTCTGTGTGTGTCTCTGAGTGTTTCTGTGTGTCTGGGCATCAGTGAGTGCGTGCCTGGGGTGAGTGTGTGTGAGTGTGTATGGGGTGAGTGTGCATCTCTGCGAGTGTGTGTGTGTGCCTGGGGTGAGTGTGCATCTCTGCGAGTGTGTGTGTCTGAGTGTGCACCTGGGGTGAGTGTATGTGTGTGTGTGTGTGCACCATCTAAGGTAACCTGGCCGTGGGGCTGCTGGTGACCGAGAGCTGCCGGTGACCGAGAGCTGCTTACCTTGACTTTCCTCGCTTGGTTCTTTCTCAGAAGTGGGCTGCTCAGACCGGTCGCCCTGCCGATGCTAGCTGGGGAGAACACAGGCTCCTTCTCCTTCCCTCTCCTCTTCTCTGAAAATGAACCGGGCGGATTGGGGGTGAGTTGGCAGGGGCTGCTTCCTGAGTGAGTAATATTTAATTAAACACTCCAGCCGGTAGCATCAGAAACTGGTCATGAGCTGAGTTTTAACAGGTGGTGATGGTAAAAAAACGCCATCCCTGGTGACTGCAGATCGGTGTCCTTAGCAGAATTCTCTGCTGGCTGGGGCAGGACAGCGCGGGAGGGGGCCCAGAGCTTCATCCCTGGTTGCTGGGTGTGAGGACAGCAAGCATCCCTTCTCGGCCCTGTTCCTTTCTGATACTCCCCCTCTGGGTGGTGGAAAGTGCTAGATTTAAGCACGAGGGGCATAGACAGGCTTCCCTCTGCTGAGGCATCACGGAGCTGAGGGAAGCCCTGTCTTACTTACAGGGCATCTATGTAGGCCAAGCTTTCCCTTCCCAGCAGAGGCCCGGAGAGGGTGGCTGACTTGCACACAATGCAGAGCCAGGCCTGTGGACGGTCTCCAGAGCCCTGGCTGTTGCCCCAGGTTTCTGCCTCTGGTGCTGAGGTCATGGGCCAGGCACCTCACGTCCCCCCAGCTGTAAGGTGATGGACTGGATTAGATCATTTTAAGCACTTCTTGTTCTCTTACTGCTTTTCCTTCTGCAGAGAGGGCTTTACCCAGGAGAGAGAGTTTGCCAGTGGGGAGGTGTGGAATGGCCCAGTGCAATAACTTTATAAATCCTTTTCTTTCCCAGCCTGGCTACCACCAGGGAAGCAGAATCAACCACAGTGGTTCTGATAGTCACGAACCAAGCAGGGGCAGACCTGGCTTCAGGGAGGTCGGGGCTATGGGGAGATGGTGGGTTCTGGGGGTTGCGCAGCTCTTAGGAAGGAGTGGTCCCACTGGGGGCCCTGGGTGATGTCACTGTGTTGCTGGGGGGGACTGCATTCCTTGGGCTGCTCTAGCAAGGTTGAAACCACCCTCCAGTGGGCTCCTGGGGCTGCCTCCTGAAACACTCTGGGCCCCTGGGCAATCAGCTAGAGGTTTCCTTTCTCCCCTGGAGCCTGGGAACAGGATGGGGGGTGGGGAGGGTGAGCTGGTGGAGGTGAGTGCTGCCCCTGCTCACTGGGGACAACGGAGACTATGCTCCCCTGGCTGCGCCTGGTCCCCTTCTTGGACCTTCCCCCTCCTGGGGTGAGCAGAGCCTTGCCCACTGATGCGTTTTCACATTTAGCAAAACCTCCGATTCTATAGTGTTGAGAATGTTGTCCAGGAATTTCACACCAGTTCTTTGCAAGAAATAGCTTATGGCTCATGGGCATAATCCGTTTATGTTTTGGTGCCTGAGGAGTTTGAGAACGAGGATCTTTATGAGACAAAAGCACAGGGCAGGTGTAGATGGGCCTCTGTCCGCCTCGGGATGCGTAAGCCTGTCCCTCCCCGACAAGCCTGACTGATGAAATCCACGCTTTTGTTTTGGACTTCCCACCTAGCGCTTTCCCTTTTCCCAGGTAGCTGATAGAGTGAGCCCCTCCTAATCTAAGAGTCAAAGTCCAGCTCATAGTCAGGTGCCAGGCTTCCCAGGAAGGTGTGCTTCCCAGGCGTGCGTGACGTTGTTGGATGGTGGTGGTGGTGGGGATAGTAGGAAATGTGCTCATGCCAGGCTCTGATCGGAGTCCTTGAGACATTAACCCTTGTACTTTTCCTAAGAACCCGGGGCAGCGAGCAGGGTCTCCTTCCATCCCCCTCCTCCTGGGGCTGGAACGGCCAGCTACACGACTTGGCCAAAGCCTTGCTGCTACAGCCGGGGTGCAGAGCTGAACTCTGACCCTGATTTTGGTGCTTAAGCTCTCTTAATTAGCACAGTGTGCCCCCCTCTATCCCCTTGACCTTTTCTTCAAGAAGCACGTGCTAATTTTTTTAATGAAAAATGTCTATTATGACGGAAAATTGCACATATATAGCAGGGCTGGGAGAAGGGTATAGGGTTCCCCCACCGGCTTCGAGTGTCCATGCATATACACACCCTCGCGCTCACACACCGCTGTATACACGCACGCACGTGTCCGCACGCACGTGCACACACTCGTGCTGGACTCTTCTGAACCAAACCTCAGACGCGGCATCAGGTCATCTGTAAGTACTCGCTAAGCATTTAAGCGAAATCTCAAGCCTCAGAGAGGTAGACTGACGCCATGGGGGGCAGGGTGGGTTAAGCGCACTCTGCCTGGCTGGACTTGAGGGTCCCTCCCGGCTGTGGCAAGGGGAGGATGGCTCACTGGGACATCTGTCTTGCTGCCACCGCCACCATCCCCCCCAGAGTCTTCGGGAAGCTTCTTGCTTGTTTTGTGTTTTTAAAGTTCTGTTCGTTGCTCAACATTACAAATAAATGAGTCCGCTGGTCATGAGACAGACCACATCAAGAACAGACCTAGGCTCCCTGCGGGCCTCCCTTGGAGGTGGGGAGGAGGACCTGAAAGGCACAGCCCTGCTTTGCCCCTCATTGAGGCTGGGCCTTGGGTGGGCATGGGCATTCGCGATAGGGCCTGGGCGGCAGGGGATGTGGAAGTGGTTTGTAAACAAGCTCAAACCCAAGCTGAGTCGTCTTGAAGTCCCCACAGTGCGGGTAACGGATGGAGGAACGTGTGGGCGCCTGCCACCCTCGGGAGGCGGTGGGTGATGTGGGCCCAAGACTCAGGGCATGTGGGACGTAAATGCCACGGCAGGGTTGGGGGTGGGGGGATCCAGGATCTACCTGGTGACAAGTCTTGACAGTTGCCCCAGCTGTGAAGAGCCCTTGCCAAACAGGCTGCTTGTGGCCACACAGCTCCTGGCTCTGCTTTCAGGCCTGGGATTATTAAAAGTGTTTCTTTGTGTCCTACTGCATCTGTTTCCCACTGGTTGGGCTGGAGGCTGGCGGCGCTTTCAAGGTGGAATCCACAGGTTGGGTAACTATTTGGACACGGGGTGTGAAGAACTGCAAATGTCTGGGAGCCTCCTGGCCAGTTTGGGGGTCTGAGTGGATGGTGACCCTAGAGAGAGGGCTGGGGGCCAGGGGCATGGAGGTGCCTTGAGCCTCTCCCAGGTAGAAATGGTCTGTGGATGTGTCCAGATGGCAGCTAGGCCAGGGGCTCTAGAGAGAAGCCTGGGCTGGAGACAGAAACTTTGGAACCTTCTTTCCAAGGGGGTCAGCAGAAGAGCATCGGGCATGAGATGAGGCGTGCCCGGGAATAGAACCCTTGTTCTGGCATTTTCATCTAGAACCGGGGGAGAGACCCTTGTACCTGAGGCCCTAGTGCTCCTGCGTGTTCCGCCTCTGACAGCGAGGGTATGTGGGGGGTCCCCACAGTGGTGCCGGGCTGCCCAAGAGCCACGTGGGAAGGCCTCTCTTGGGTTTGGGATTTCATACTTATCTCTCGTTTTACCGTAAAATGCCCGTGACATCACATTCCCCATTGTAGCCACCGCTGAGTGCGCCGCGGGGTGAAGCACATTCCCGCGGGGGTGCGGCCGCCACCACGTCCGTCTCCCGGGCTCTCTCCAGCCTGCAAAACTCGAACTCTGTCCCCATTAGACGCTGACTCCCCATTCTCCTCCGGCACCTGGCATCCTCCATTCCGCTTCTGTCTCTATGGGGTTGACTCCTCTAGGTCCTTCAGATGCATGGAATCCTACGCATTGTCCTTCTGTGACTGGCTTCTCCCACCCTGCGTGATGTCCTCAGGTCCGTCCATGTCGTAGCCTTTGTTGGAATGTCCTTCCTTTTTAAAGCTGAATACTACTCCATTGTATGGAGCTACCACATTTTGCTTATCCGTTCATGTGTGGGTGAACACTTAGTCTCTTTTTATTGCACTCCCTGAGGGCACAGGTCCCGGGAGGGGCCTCGCCGAGGGCCTTTGGAGTGCTGGGGGGGAGAGTGCGGGTAAAGGGGGCGCTGATGCTGGGCTGCCTGGGGCCCCGCCCCTCCCTGATGCGACTGGCCCAGCCCCACAGGCTGCTGTCCCCTCCCGCTGGTCAGACATAAGGCGAGGCTGCCTGTGGGAGCTCACAGGGCCCAGGGAGCCTAGGTCGTGGGGTGGACCCCTTGGTCACTGAGCCCCCAGAGCTGCCCTCAGGGCAAGAGGATCAGCTCCTCCAGCGTCCTGCCTCCCACTCGCAGGTCAATACAACTGGTCTCCACTTCCTCACTTCCCTGGCACTTGTAGATCTTTCCAGGAGCTCCTGGATGTCACTGGCCCAACTGCGGATACTCACTGACCCTGCTGCTTTGGTGCCATCACCCCTCCCCCCTGCTTAGAGAATTCTCTGCACCAGCCGCCGGGAGTCCTTCCCTCCCAGCACCCCCCTCTCTCCCCTGCTCCCCACTTCCCCCACCTCCCACCCCCATCCCCGTCCTTACAGCTCTCCCACCCACCCATCTCCTGATGTCCCTCATAGCCTCCGTCCCCTGCATCTATGTCTCACTGACCCCCAACCCTGCCCTCCCACCCCCACTAAACCTTTAAAACCTGAGTTCCACATGTCTCCCTGGCTCACATGGTGTTCCTGCGGCGGGCAGCCGGGCCTCCACCTTCCACCCAGAAACCCAGACACGCACTCCCCCGCTCGCAGCACCACGGGCAGGCTGGCCGGTGTCCTACTGGACTGTGGGCTGGGGGGTGGGCAGGGCCAGGCCACGTGGGTCTCGCTCATCCCTCTGTCCCCGGTGCTCAGCACACACAGAAGGCTCCTACTGGATACCTGTTGGACGGATGGGTGCGGGCAGGGCTGGTAGTGCTTCTGAGCAGGGGGCTTGGAGAGACGTGAATCCGGGCTCAGGGGCGGTGGCCCAGACCCAGGCTTTCCCTCAGAGCCTCCACCGCCCTGACGGCGCAGTGTGGCAGCCACTTTGTGGGGTGGCCGTGAGGTCTCGGGGGTGACGTGCTCTAGCGCTGGCCGCAGTGCCTGGTCCCGACATGTTGGAGGTGGTGGCGCTGTGCCCCCCACGGACCCGCCCGTCAGAGAACCCGACTGC